TTCCAGCAGTTTAACTTTGATAGAGGGACTTAAAGAGCCAAATCCAAGGCAAAAGTTACTTGCCAAAAAAATGGATTATATACCTTAATATATTAGGATCAAAAAAAAGGAAGATTATGTAATTACTAGTGAATAATTAAAAATCACATGCAAATTCCACATACAACTTTGTGAAAACCTATTCCAAAAGTTACATAAAATAGATAATTTTCCAGAAATACAAGTTATGCAAAATGACTCAAGGAAAAAATAGAATTCTTGAAAAACAATCCTTGAAGTTTCAGTTACTAAAAATGGAAACCATTATTAAAAATCTACCTTTCTTGAAAAGACCACACCAGTGTCTTTTCATAGGCAGTTTTATAGGTGAGTTTTATCAAGCATTCAAATATCAGATAATTCCTTTTGATACTGTTTCAGAGAGGTGAAAAGGAAAAAGTCTAATCACTCCTTGGGCTAGTACAACTTTTATATGAAACTTAGAAAGGATAGTAAAAGAAAGTAAAATTGTATACCAATCTCATAATTAAGCAAATTATGAAGTGCTTTAATGTTCTTTCCTTGTTATCTGAGTAGAATCAATCCGTCCTTTCTATCCACAGCACCCTTTAACACTTCAGAGCCCTTATACCTTTCACATTTGTCTCTCTTGGGAGGATAATAAGATCCTTACAGGCAGGGACATTTTTATACTTATATCCCCTGATGTGAAACACAGCACTAGGATGGTCATGTTCAGTAGTTGAATGATGTGAAAACAGAAAGGGGAGGGGCTTTCAGGTGGAAATATCAGTAAAGTATACAGGCAAGAGCTGGGAAACAAAGAGGCAGTGAATAAGCCATTTACCTAGAACATAGGTTTTGTCTAAGGAAATAACATTGGAAAGGGCAGTTGGGCCAGTTACAGGGGGCTTTTTCAGGGAAAATTTAGTTTCAGTAACCACTGAGGGCATTTGAGCAGGCAATGGCTAAAGCAGCTCTGTGCTTCAGAATCCAGATGGACATGTTTTAGAGCAGTCAGAGACTTGAAGGTGATCTATCTGGTTGAAATCTATCATCTTAAGGAATAAACCTAACCAAGGAAGTGAAAGACCTATACCCTGAAACTATAGGACACTCTTAAGAGAAATTAAAGAGGACACTAATAAATGGAAATTCATCCCATGTTCTTGGCTAGGAAGAATTAATATTGTCAAAATGGCCATCCTGCCCAAAGCAATCTACAGATTCAATGCAATCCCTATCAAAATACCAAAAGCATTATTCAATGAACTAGAGCAAATAGTTTTAAAATTCATATGGAATGACAAAAGACCCCAAATAGCAAAAGCAATCCTGAGAAGGAAGAATAAAGCAGGTGGAATTATGCTCCCTGACTTCAAGCTCTACTACAAAGCCACAGTAATCAAGACAATTTGGTACTGGCACAAGAACAGAGCCATAGACCAGTGAAACAGAATAGAGAGTCCAGATATAAACTCAAGAATATACGGTCAATTAATATATGATAAAGGAGCCATGGATATACAATGGGGAAATGACAGCCTCTTCAACAGCTGGTGTTGGCAAAACTGGACAGCTGCATGTAAGAGAATGAAACTGGATTATTGTCTAACTCTGTATACAAAAGTAAATTCAAAATGGATCAAAGACCTGAATGTAAGTCATGAAACCATAAAACTCTTAGAAAAAACTACAGGCAAAAATCTATTGGACATAAACATGAGCAACTTCTTTATGAACATATCTTCCCGGGCAAGGGAAACAAAAGCGAAAATGAACAAGTGGGACTATATCAAACTAAAAAGCTTCTGTACAGCAAAGGATACCATCAGTAGAGCAAAAAGACATCCTACAGTATGGGAGAATATATTCATAAATGACATATTTGATAAGGGGTTGATATCCAAATTATATAAAGAACTCATGCACCTCAACAAACAAAAAGCAAATAAGCCAATTAAAAAATGGGCAGAGGAGCTGAACAGACACTTCTCCAAAGAAGAAATTCAGATGGCCAACAGGCACATGAAAAGACGCTCCACATCCCTAATCATCAGAGAAATGAAAATTAAAGCCACAATGAGATATCACCTCACACCAGTTAGGATGGCCAACATCCAAAAGGCAAACAACAACAAATGTTGGTGAGGATGTGGAGAAAGGGAAACCCTCCCACACTGCTGGTGGGAATATAAACTAGTTCAACCATTGTGGAAAGCAGTACAGAGGTTCCTCAAAAAATGCAAAATAGAAATACCATTTGACCCAGGAATTCTACTTCTAAGAATTTACCCTAAGAATGCAGCAGCCCAGTTTGAAAAGACATATGCACTCCTATGTTTATCACAGCACTATTTACAATAGCCAAGAAATGGAAGCAACCTAACTGTCCATCAGTAGATGAATGGATAAAGAAGATGTGGTACATATACACAATGGAATATTATTCAACCATAAGAAGAAAACAAATCCTATCATTTGCAACAACATGGATGTAGCAGGAGGGTATTATGCTCAGTGAAAGATAAGTGGAGGTGGAAAAAGACAAGTGTCAAATGATCTCACTCATCTGTGGAGTATAAGAACAAAGAAAAAAACTGAAGGAAAAAAACAGCAGCAGACTCACAGAAACCAAGAATGGACTAACCATTACCAAGGTGAAAGGGACTGGGGAGGGTGGGTGTGAAGGGAGTGATAAGGGGAAAATGGGGCATTACGATTAGCACACAAAATTTGGGGGTGGGGTACGGGGAAGGCAGTACAACACAGAGAAGACAAGTAGTGATTCTATAGCATCTTACTACGCTGATGGACAGTGACTATAATGGGGTATGTGGTGGGGACTTGATAATGGGGGGAGTCTAGTAACCATAATGTTGTTCAAGTAATTGTACATTAATGATATAAAAAAAAATCTATCATCTTAAAAATTAGGAAACCAAAGTCAGAGAGGGTGGGTGACCTACCCAAGGCCTAGAAACACAGAATTCACTAAAAGCAGGAAGTTTAGAGGGAAGAAACTTGATGAAGGTCACACAGTTAGCATACAATCCAACCAAAAGTCAAGCCCAGGTTTGTACATCCCAAAGCTCAAGATCTAGATGACACCAGGAGATCAGGTATAGAGAGACCATATATATACCCTTTTAGAATCGTTCTAATTTCATGTAATGTACTCATTTCAAATAAAGCTAATTTATGTAATGTAGAACTAAAGGCTAATTTAATTATTTTTACTTTTACTATAAGACAGGACAGTTAACAGAATTCTAATTAACTTTATTATATTATGTCATTTTGATGAAGTCTTTTACTCAATTAGCTTCTGGACCCAAGATCAACAAAATGACAGGAGTGAACAGGAAGCAAATAGGAACAAAGCACTTCCTTAGCCTCATATAAACCATACCTAAAGCATTAAAAATGGTTTTAGTTACTGCAACAGAATTGGGAAAGTTCCAGAAAAAGATTAATTACTTAATCTAAAATGACTTTTCAGTCTTAAAAGACAGCCTGGAAGTTTATAAAACTAAAAATGCAGGTAAGGATAGAGAAAAATTGGACTTCATTTTATCTCAGAATACTAATTCTGAGAAATACTTAAAGCCTAAAAGATAATAAATTTAGAGATGAAGGATTATACTACAGATCTTCCTTGATTTACAGTGGGGTTACAGCCTGATAAACCCACTCAAAGTTGAAAATATCATGTCAAAACTGCATCTGATACACTTATCCTACTGAACTTCATAGCTTAGCCTTGCCTCTCTTAAATGTATTCAGAACACTTATATTAGCCTACACTTGGGCAAAATCATCTACCACAAAGCCTATTTTATAATAAAGTGTTGAATATCTCATATAACTTACTGAATATTATACTGAAAGTGAAAAATAGAATGGCTGTGTGGGTACAGAATGGTAGTTAGTGTATCAGCAGTTTACCTTCATGGTCACCTGGCTGACTGGGAGCTGCAGCTCCTGGCCCCTGCCCAGCACACAAGACGGTATTGTAGTGCATATCGCTAGCCCAGGAAAAGATCCAAATTGAAAATCTGAAGTACAATTTCCACTGAATGTGTATCACTTTTTCACCACCATAAAGTCAAAAAATTGTAAGTTGAACTATAAGTTGGTTACTGTTGTACAGAATATTTTACCCGGGCAAAAACCAAAGGGGAAGGGGAGTGCTTTAAAAAAAAGAGAGAAAAGAAAAACAACAGAATTTCATACTCAAAATACTGATGAAAGCTGAAAATATCAAGAGGTTCTCAATAAAAAATGATGATAGAACATTGTCAGGAACAGATAGGATGAGATATTGTCCTCATTTCCTAGATTAACCCTTTTGGTGCTCCTGCCCCAAGATACTAGACCGAGAAGGTCACTGCTCTATAGCTCTCCTTCAAATCCTTGCCCCAACTATTATTTGGCACCACAGAGTCTTGTACAAAATAGGCATTTGACTAATGTTTGTTAATTAACTGACTGAAATTTAAAGAAGGTGACTGGTAACATAGCCTTGACAGGCATGAAATCATGAGCAAACAGTAATGATACTACTAATAATGATGTCAACAAGCATCAAAATAGTGATCAGTGATTGAGAGTTTGCTATATGTAAGTATTTCTCTAAACACACGCATTTATTTATTAATCTTCATTAACTCTATTTTTCAAATAACAAAACCACAGCACATAGGGGTTAGTAACTTGCTCAAGGACAGAGTTAGGTAGTGGCAGAGTTAGGATTTGAACCCTCGAGGTTGTGCTCTTAATCACTGCGCTACTCCGGCCAGCCTGGAATTGTCTGTGCATCCTACCAAAATATACTTTTAAAGATTGCATTTCATATTCAATTTCCTTCTTTGAAAATCTAGAAAAATAAATTACAGGTTTAAAAAAGTATCCACACTTACATCAGAAGAGAAAAACTATTTTTTCAAATCTGTTTTATTTGCTCTTCAATAAAATGTAGATATTTGCTTTAGATTTACCTCCAGTCTTCCTTGAGTGTAACCCAAGAGCAGCAGATTGCCTCTGTCTTTTTCAGAAGAAATGGGAGCCCAAGGCCAAGCATCGTCACTGACTAGCGGCCACCAGCAAACAACTGCATCCTGAACACAATTGATAGCTAGATGACGCTCTGTTGTCTTGTTGACTGGGCCAGGTATTTCACAATAGGAAATCTAATGGTTAAAAAAGAAAAAAGGATCATGTTTTAAAACACAAAATCCTCAAAGTATTATGAAAATTAAAGCATCTGTAAATGTAGATAAATGCAAGTAAATATGCATGTTAAACATGTACTTAAGGAGGTGTCAGAAATTACCAAATTCTTTTGACACATATATAAAAAAGACATATGTTCAAAATTCTCCCCATTTTTAGCAGAGGAAAGGAAAAGGAGAAAAGTGAGTTAGGGAGGAATGGCTGTAGCAATCCCAATCAATACCAAAATGTACAGTCATGGCTGCTTGATAGCATCGACCTACACATAGGATTTAAGGCCAGCTATATTAAATGACAAGTTCAGTAAAGCTGACCAACAGGCTGACTGCTGTTTAAGACATTATGCGTTAACAGTGACTGACAACAATAATAGGAGAAACAACTTGAGGCAAATTCACTTTAAAGAATATATGAGACATATACACATATATTTTGCATAAAGGGATAAGCCACAGCATCATGTGTAAAAGTTTATGCAGCTTCTGAGAATCATGCTTCACTTTCTTAGGAAGGATTTATAGAATTTATTATTCAAACTATGTTATTTTGGAACATGGTTATTTGAAAACATAAGCACGGCACCATCTGGGTGACACATGCCAAGGAAATATAGATTGCACTGTATTTCTGCTTAAGGAATTAATGGAAGGTTGATAGCTTGGAAGAAAAAAAAAACTATCTTGCCATTGCTGGTCAGCAATAATCGAACCACTTTCTGGGGATTAAGCGCATGGCTAAGCCTACTGGACCAGACACTAGCAAAGGGCAGGGGGTCTTCTTATCAGAGAAATGCTTCTGGAGCCGGTCTCACTACATGACAGATTGCTTTCATATTCCTGTCTGCAAGGCAACAAAGGATGGCAGTAATGCGATAATGCCAGAGTGCAATGGGTGTTAAGAACCCGTTGCATTTATGTATTGTATTTAGTAAATAATCAGGCTCATCCAAATTGTGATCTCACCACTCAACCAAGGCCATTAAAATCAAGGTTAATGCTTTAATAATCCTCTGCTATTTTTTTATATGGTCAAAAGGAACCCTTTTCTATTTGCATGGCCATAATATTATTGACCTCTTCATCCTCTGAATGCACATCAAAAGGAACTGAAATCAAAGTAATTACCAGTGTTGTTCTCTCATGGTAAACATTTAACTCCTTGCACTGTCCCTTCACTGTTAAATTGAATTGGATTTTTAGCATGTAGACAGGAAAACTTGGTAAAGGTCAATAGTTTCAGGATATTTACCCTGTAATTTTCTTTGCCAAAATTATTTTAATCTGAAAGAATTAAATTATGGTGCAGCTATAAAGAAAAGCACAATTATAATACTCTACACAATTTCCTTGTTTTAAAATCCAAATGGGCATTAACAGACAACACAGATGTACTTTATGCTTTGAAGTGCAAATTTTTAAGCTCTCAATATCATTACTTTAACTAGCTGTCTTCTTACTTGAGAGAAATATCACAATGGAAATGCTAAGTCCTTAAAAATACACATACATTATTTTTATGTCCTACTTACCAAGTAAACATGTTACGAATTTCTAGACAAAGAAATAGAGTTAAAACAAGAGACTGGAACTTTCAGTCCTCACATTATGTAAATCATGTATGTTATCTAAAATTTCATGTTTCCTATGAGTTTTAATGGCACCAGCATTCTATCATGATGGTCAACAAGGCAAGTAAAATGAGCTCACTTCTTAAAATACCCTTCCAATGGACAAATGGCAGTTTTTACTCATTATTAAGTATTATATTTTAAATATTGAATCAGGAAATGAAATCCATTGGCTTTGCAAAAGGGAGACAGGCTACTTCTCTAATGTACAGAAATGACATGGAGAGTACATATTCTTAAGTTCTCCAGTCCTAAGGCAGAGAGAATAAATAAGTAATTCTCTTACTTAAGATATAAGGGCCCATATACTAGGCCTGTTTGCACATTTTTTCATAAGAAATATGAAAGATAATATCCTGACAGTTTCTCATTAATGCCTAGCTAGTATCCTTCAGATACTTTATCAAGCTACTTATTACATCTAAGATGGAGAAACTAGTCATACAAAATTTTATCTAACAGTATGAAAAACATTTACTTTAGATACTTTGAATTAATCCATATTGGTGCATTTTAAAGACTAGTATTAGTTAAAAAACAACATTTCAAGTAAATCTACAGTTAGCCATTCTGGAAAATAACATTCCATTAAATGCTAACACCAATTCTTTTGCTAGCCAAAATATAATACTTGAGTACCACTATTTCCAGTTAAAGAAAATTAACATTATACAAAGTGCTACACGATCTCCACAAAGCTGACAAACAAAACCAAATTATAGCTTATTACCACAATGAAAAACTTAATATATTTTATTCCATGTTAAAAATCTTTTTTATAAGGTTAGATGTTTCTACCAAATAAAATTAAATCCTCCCCATACAACCACAACCTCAATCAAAATCAGAAATAATTCCAAAGGGCAAAAGGTTAGGTTAAATACCATTTTATCAAAAGACAAACATACAAAGTTTCAAGCAATAAAACTGACTTCTAAAAATTTTTGCATTTATTATAGATACTCTAGGTATGGCATAAGTGTGCATCTTTTTTAAGGAAGCTGTATATCAGCTCTGTTCCCAGTGAACAGTGAACTGTCTCAAATCCACATCACAGAGGCTGGATCAATCTTGCAAACACAAGTCATTGCTGAAAAGAGGCCTTGAACTGAAACAGCCTGGAAAATGTATTAGATACTCATCCTAGCAGAGAGTATGCCTTCCAAGCAGTTAAAATGTAATGTGGCAAAAGTTAAATTAAATACATCATTTAAAATAAGAATCCTGCCTTAACAGATGTAAAGTTCCTGATACAAGGTAACAAATTACCTGGAGTTAGTGAAGGGAGAGACACTAACACATGAAGGAGATTTCCCTTTTGTGTTTTTCTCCAGTTGTAGTTAGGCACGGGGGTGGAGTGGGTATTTCCACTCCTTGTTTACTACAGTTTTTCTATTAACCTTTGAAAGTACCTTTTTCCTTCCTTTTTTTCTTGTAAAATGGAAGTCATAGCAGCTATCCTTCCCTAGAAAGATGATATGGGGTCTTAGGGGAAAATGAGAAGGGTGTATATACTACCACTAGCAAGAAAACCATTTTCAAATATGTGACTTCTTTCTATTGTCCATCTTTGAATTCCAAAAGTCCTATATAAATTGCTCCAAACATGCCATTATTAGACCCCCATAATGAGAGTAAAAAATAAAACTTAGGATGGCTATTGTTTCTACTGAATCAAGCTTAATCCTATGATAATTCTGGTTTTCCTAAAATCTGGAAATGTTTACAAGTAGCGAACATGACATCAACTCATGTACTACTCTAGCACACCTTAATAATTAATAATATGACTACATAAATGAAATATCTACCTTATAATCCAAGGCTGAGAGTTTTTCCAGTCTTTTGTTTAAATCAGGAGAACCCATCTTCTTGGTAAACTGAATAAAACACAGTTTGTTTTGTGTCAAAAATGATAAGATGATAAAGCTGTCTGTGACAAGAGCTTTAAAAAAGAAGAAAAACAAAGATTTGATAATACTACCAAATACTAAGTTAGAATGAAATAACAATGGATTAATACATTTTTTCCAGTGAAATATTACAAAAGCTATTGTCAGAAAATAAACATTAACTGATATAACTAATTGAAAGTCTCCTAAATAACATTATGACATTTTACAAGTTTATTAAAGATATTGGGAATAAATAATAATCATGAAGATAGCGATGCATGGATTTAATACCTTTCCTTTTTTCCTGAGACTACTTCAATATACACTCATGTTTGGGGACAAACTCCAAATGAGACGTATTTGGAAGTAGTGCTAGAAAAGCATAACACAAAGACTACTCATACCTGAATGTAAAGATGAAAACATTGACTTTTATTTGTGCTTAGCCTTTAATGCTGTGTTTATATGATATAAGCCATTTTAGTATAAATTAGGCTTATTAGGGGATACAGAGTAGTGTTCTTGACCTTAGGTTTTTCATCAGTGAACCTTCTTTTTGAGGGAATACAAGCTGAATGAAATGAAACATTATTTGTGCCCATATGCACATTATATAAATTAATATTTAATAATGATTAGAAAAAATGTTTCTACAGTTTTATTTCTAAAGCACACAAATAGATAACATTCATGGTTACAGAAAAGAACTTAATGTCATAAAAATTACTGATAAAAACATATAATAGAAATTTGGGAAACGTTTTATATTGGCCCTGGCATAAAGAACTTATTGAATGTGTTATATTTTTACTTCCATATCCAATCTGTAAGCAGTGACCAACAGTAGATTTACACAATTACAGGAGAATCTGGAGAACTGCCAAGAAATCACATTGTTATCACAGTCTCATGAGAGTGTATTATTTTGGGTATAAATAAAAGAAACAAGTGGAAAAAGATATCTCAGAGACGTGAATAATGTTGGAAGTCTCCTTTAACTCTGACAGAGAAGCAACAATATAACAAAATCATCACAGCCATTATTTCATTTGCAGTGCTAATAAAGGGGTCAACTGTCAGACATAAGAAAATGGAAACTCTTCCATTGGGAAGCTTCCTTAGCATAAATTCCTATAAGAAGAGGAAATGGCACCCTTAAATCCTATACCCTGCTTATTATTATCAGGAATGTTGCAAATTATAGCCATCCTACACAGTGCTTTTCCCTGAGATGAGGAAATTGTGTCTGAGTTACTCAGAGATAGCTAGTGAGGGCACACAGAAGATTTCTCACCTCTGTCCTTTCCACTAAAGCACACTTTCCTTCAATCATTTGATTTAAGATACCGACAATTTTCAATCTCTAATGATAATGCAGTCTGTTTCTTAGATATTTCTGCCTTGAATATAAGAACATAATATTAAAACTTCAGGAGTCAGCACAGTGTAATGGAAAGAAAATGGGCTATGCAGCTAGGACCTGGATTCAAGTCTTAGCTCAGTCAGTTTCTAGCTGTCCTTAGTATCTCATTCATGGGCCTCTTCCTTAGGATCTCAGTTTCAATTCCCTTGTCTATAAAATGCAAATAACTATACCTTATAACGTTGTTTTTTATATCTTATAATTGCTTTCTGAATTAAATGAAACAGGTAGGTCAGCATAGCACAGAGTCTCTTAGGACTCAATGAGAGTCAGTATCCTACCTTTTCAAGAATTGGCTTAAAAATTTTTTTATGTGCTCTCTAGCAATTATATACTTACTGTGGTATCACTTAATAGATTTATCTAGTTATTTGGCATTGATTTTTGATATTTGGAATTATTGCCTAGACTCTCTGAGAAATTAGTATTCATGGACTTTGGCAATAAAGAATCTTCCTAGGCGCCAAAGCATAGATTTTTTTTTTTTTAACTGGTGGCTGTGTTAACACTTTTGGGTTATTTACTCAAATTTCATTTCAAATTGAAAAAATATTTGAAATATCAACAACAGGGGACTCATTTTGAAAGAACACACCAAAAAAAACTATTTTGAAAATATTTTCACGTTTTTAAGGAAAGAGTGAAAATACTCAGAATATGAGCCTAACACTTCACAAAACTTGGATATTAAATATTAGTCAAACCTTGTATTGGTCCCAGGGGTTGTAACTATGCCATTAAAAGCAATTACTTGTGTTTTCAAGTCCCCAGTAGTAATAATTAGTCTACCTGTTGACACAGTGTTTCACCTGCCCCACTGTTAATGTAGGCAATTGGTTTACACTTGGGAGTAATTACCATCACTGATGGTGTCTGAGATGAGCTTCCCCACCAGGCTTCTGTCAATCACAACTTTCTCCAGCTGTGGTCCAGAAAGGCTTAGGGACACCATCACACCTGAACCAAAGAAGAGCTAAAACCAGGCAAAGGGGGAAGTGGATGGGGAAGACATACTGAGAATTAGAATCTTTTAAAAATCTCTCTCCAAATATACAACTTATATAGATATTTACATGTACATCTAAACCATGAAATTATAAAGAGTTTTTATTCATCAGAAAACAATCACTGACATTCTGAGTAAAAACTACAGGTGGCTATATGATATGATACAGTAAGTGCATTGATTAAAGCCATATGCAGAAACTGAATTTACTCCATGTTTATTTTAAGTCTAATCTTCTAAATACTTAAAAAGTACTCACGTAGAAATAACTAATTTGTATTGTATTCAGAAATATAATGTGTTCTATTAAAATATTTTGAAAGATTATACCAAAAATTAAGAGGATTCCTTGAGGTTTGAATGGTCATTCCAACACATTCAATAGAGAAAAAATGCAACCATTACAAATAAGCAGCAAATGTTACAATATGGAATTTAAATCTTGTCAGTCTAAAATATTAAAATAACATGTAAATCAAGGCAATTAAAGTAAAATCTTGAATTTCAAAATTCATAAATAAATCACACATACCAGGAACAATTTCTAAAGTAGAGATAAAGTAATATAGTACCTAGGTTTTATCAATATTAGCGGTCAACCAACCACCCAACAAAAGATGATTGAATAGCACCATTTTATACTGCTCCTTTCCATTTGTGGCAGCATAATTCATTCATCTCCAAATGTTTAAAATTTCTGCAAGAACTATGCATATGTGTATGCTTGTTATCTATGAGATTATGATATATCAACATTGGAAGAAATTGTTTCACCTTCAAGGCAACAGACTCAAAGCAGATGAATCATGGAATAGCATATGGTATAAGAAGAAAAAAAACCCAATTGTCAGTAAACTAATCATGAACATGCTAGCCAAACTCAAAGACAACTATGATTTTAAACAAAATGAACTCCCCACCTACCTAGGCATCATGTCCCAGCTTGAGAGGATGATTCTGTGTCAAGATGTATTTGGACTTGTGTGAAAGATGAACAGTATTTGGAACCAGGTTAATATAAAGAAAGACCACTACTTGCCCACTGTCTAACAGATTCCAGGCACATGAATCACAAAAGAAACTAAAGGGTAACTTAATAGGCTGTCCATTTCATGTCAATACCCCCTAAAGGGGGCAGAGGGTGCGGGTGGGGAGACACTTAATTATCTTTGTTGGTTTTGGGAACTACTAAAAGAAGGCACATTTGTTTCAAGAATTTCAAAATACTTCACAAATTAGTGAATCTCCAATGAATTACATCTATTATACCTTGCTAGCGAACACTGGTATTTCCCTTTCGGTGAATTCCCCCAAAACAACATAGCATGTGGTCTTCACTCCCTCAATCCTCCCTTCTCAGGTGGGCAATTTTAGGGTCTTTCACATCTAGTTCTTCCCCTTGTAATAGCTTTTTTCTCCCTACTTCATGTATTCAAAACATCTCTAAAATATGTTTTCTATTTATTTTTACTTACTAAAACTTTACATCTATACTCTTAAGCACCTATACTCTTAATGATCCACTGACTACCAGCTACTATGGATATTGGCTAGGCTACTTTTATCTTTGTTTCTTCAGTGTCTAGAACAATGACAGGCACACAGTAGGTGCTATTTGGAGAAAAAATATGCTTATCATAGGAAAAATTATTCATAGTTAGAAGAAAACCTGGTCAAACTTTCCACTTCCACATGACACAGAGGTTCCTTCAGCAGCACCCCTTCAAGCACAATTCAAGCATCGAGCTCATTCTTGAATACTGCCAGTGACCAGGAGCTCATTACCTTACAGGAAGCCTCTTCTACCACCAGACAGTTCTAATCAACTTAAAAATCATTCATTTATTGTTTTCATTCAACAAAAACTGAAGGTGGATTATATGCCACATCTAAAACTACATGTAGTGGCTCAAAAGTGAATCAGATAGAATCCATATAATAGGTTAAATATAGGTTAATAGAAAGAAGTAGAGATATAAGCAAATAAGTGTAATAAAGTACTGTTACTGCTCCTATTATAGGAACACATACTGGGTATACAGAGTGGGGGTACTGAGAAAGAGGTGATGATGCTGAGCTTGAAGTAAAGGCTAACACTGCCTTCTAAGAACCTCTATAGTAGCCCCAGTTTTTCTTCAGTAGCACTCTTTTTAAATATTAAAAGACAATAACAGTTCCGAACACAGACCCTGAAATCAGAATGAATCACCATTGGCTCTATCTCTTATTAGCTGTGTGTCCTTAAGAGAGTTACTTAACTTCTCTGTTACTTCATTTCCTCATCTGAAAAGAGATATAATAGTATCTATTGCATAGGATGAGGATTAAGTAACATTTCAGAAATGGCATTTAAAATAACACCTGGCACACAATAAATGTTTGCAATTACTATCTTTATTATTCAACCATTAGTCACATGAGGTGTTCTCACTATACTGTTTGCGATCTCTAAACACAGTCTTTTGTCTTCTAAAAAACTTTGTGCCCAGATTAGATTCAGTATTAGACATGGAACACCAGACTCCAGGCGAGTTATAATCAGTACAATCTTTTGTCACTTCTCCTATTTGTTATTCCACAGATATTGTCTCCAAGGTATTTGCAAGTTCCTTCAGAACTTTGGAATTCAATTTGTCCAAGTCTAAAATTTCTTGTTCCTTATTTTCTGTTGTCACTACCATTGTCATGAACTAACCCTCATCTCCTAATAGAAATAGATTTTTCCATGTATGAGCATTTGTTATGTTATAAAATTAATTCTAAAAGGACATTTTTGTGGAATGCAAATAGCAAGTACAACTGTGAGAAATAGTAAAAGGAGGAACAAGCTGGAAAAGGATTCAAAGGGGAATGTCAAGGCGCAACAGGGAAGTGTGCATACATCAGAGATGACTGATGCATGGTGCCAACAGCAGTGACTGAGGACTGTGGATCCTGCCATTGAGCTTGGGCATTCCTTCAGAATATTTCTCCAAAGGGTAGATGCAGCCACTTATTTCATACATTCACTCACTCATCCTACAAATATGTATTTAGTACTTAGATTAGCCAGGCCTTGTTGTAGGTGTTGAAGACAGAGCAGTGAACAGAACAGGCAATGCCCATGCCTGACCTCCCCTCGGGAGCTTGCCTTCTAGTGTGGACAGAGGCAATAAACAAATAGCTTTAATGTAATGTCAGACAGCAGGAGAACTACATAGAAAAATGAAGCACAGTAAGGATAGGGTTTTAGAAGGATACCATTTTAAGCAGGATGACTAATGAAGAAGTAAAAAGCCCTCTCTGAGATGAAATCTGAGTATAGACTCATATGAAGTGATGGAACAAGCCATATGATTATTCAGAGACAGGGAGTTTCAGGCAGAAAAAGGCAAATGCAAAAACTCTGAGGTCAGAATGTGACTAAATGACAAGTCAACTAGACCAGTGTAGTGGGAAGGGAGTGAATGAGAAGGATATTCAAGGGGATGAAATCAGAGAGGCAGTCAGCGGCCAGATTAGGTTGGAACTTTTAGATGAGAAGCCATTGGGTTTTAAGCAGCAGAGAATTGTAATCTAATTTATGTTTTTAAGGCAAGTCAGGGCAAGAGTAGAAACAAGGAAACCATTAGGAGTTGACTGCAGTGGTCCAGGTGAGAGAAGATAATGCCTTGGACTAAAATGGCAATGCTGAGGAAATAACATGTAGACTGATTTCAGATATATTTTAAAGGGTATCAACCAGGATGTGCTGAAGGATTTGACGTGCCATACAGAGGAAAACTCAAAGGTTTTGGGTTGAGCAACTAGATATCCTGAGATAGGGAACACCTGAGGAGACGCAAATTTAGATTAGGGGGAATCAAACGTTTGGTTTAGGACATGTTAAGTTTAAGGTGTCTACGGACATACCAATAGAGATATCCAGCAGACAATTAAAAATGAGTCTGAAATTCTGGAGTTAGTGGGGACTGGAAATATGTATTTGGGAGTCAGCAATGGTATAAAGGTAGTGGTTATAGTCATGGAACTGGATGAGATCTCCTTAAAAATGAGTGGACAGGTCATTAGGGTGGGGCACTAATCCAATCTGATTTGTGTCCTTATAAGAAGAGGAAGAGTAACCCAATGGCTCTCTCTCCACACACAGGGGAAAAGCCGTATGACCCAGCAAGAACACAGCTGTCTACAAGGTGAGGAAGAGAGGCCTCATCAGAAGCCAACCTAATGGAAGCTTGGTCTTGGGTCTTGGACTTCTAGCCTCTAGAAGTGTGAGAAAATAAATTTCTGTTGTTTAAGCAAAAGAAAAAAAAAAAGAATGGAAAGAGAGAAAGAAGTCTAAGGTCTGAGCTCTGGGGCACTGCAACCTAAAGAGGTGTTAACAGATCAGGATAGCCACCTCATGGAAATTTAGTTTGGGTAATTATAAGGATCAAGGTATGTCCATCATTACAGATCTCTAAATGTCTTGTGGCCTAGAAGTATCCCTGCCACCAGATTTTGGAATAAGAAGGTATAAATAAATTAATAAGCTAGTAACACCTTTTTATAAAACAACCTATGTTGAATCATAGTTTCTAAGTACTGGTGTCAAAGATACTCCTGGATATGGTAATGGGGATAACTAGAATCATGAAAAACTTAGTCTCAAATTCAGAAAAAGAATATTCCAGCCCAGACAGTAAAGTAGCTCCACCTAAAATGGAAAGGGCCTATGTAAGTTTTGGCAGTACAAGAAGGTAAAAGGGCACTAAGATATTGTCCTATTCAACTGCAAGGAGCTGAAAAATTTTGGCAGCTCAGAAATGAAAAAGAGCAGACAAAGAGGCAAAGGGAGGCACCTCTAGAGAAGATCTGAGCTTGACAAGATACATGGGATGAATCAATGAGAAGGCCCAGGGAGTTCCTGATATAGTTCCAGTTTTAATGTTGTTCTTTATGCAGAAGACAATGAATGCAAAATAGGAACTGAAACTTTTCCTTTTCTC